ATATACTACTAGGTACTTTGCCCCTGCTTGCTCTGCTAACCAATCCCAAATGAACACTCCAGAATAATAGAATTGTAGAATTGGAAGGGACACCAAGGGCCATCTAGTCCAACTCTCTGCACTGCAGGACTCTCAGCTAAAGCATCCATGACAGATGGCCATCCAACCTCTGCTTATAAACCTCCAAGGAATGAGGGAGACCGTTCCACTGTTGAACAGCTCTCAATGTCATAATTTTTTTCCTGATGTTTAGAGCATCTACTTCCCACCCCAGTCAACTACTAAGCTTGCTTTTCACCATCCTAATTCTATTTCTGAAGCCACTTCTCTCTTTTATTCTCCATCTCCGCTTTTTACCCCATGACCCTACTGCATTCTTCCCCTCCTTTTGTGGAACGCCCCCCTTGAACACGACCCCACCCATGGTAACCTCTGGCATCTTCCTCCTCCCAAGCATTTAAACTGCAAAGCACCCATCTTACTTTCTGCCCAGTTATGAAGCCACCATTGCCTCCTTTCACCAGAGGTACTGCCCCTCCCCTAGCACCCCATACACCCCAATCATGACAATAATACTACTATTAAGATAAACCAGTGTTACTGTTAGGGAATACAATGTTCAGATTGTACATAATGTATTAGAAATCACCCCAGAATTGGCCCTACTAAACATCTTCCAAGACCATAAGGCCCATTTACATCACAAAGAACTCATAACCCACCTGGCTTTCAGCAGCCAGAAACAACATAATCAGACACTGGAGAGACCTGTCAGGGACAAATCCAACTCAGTTCAATAGATCTTGCTTCCCACTAAGTGTGTTTAGGATTGCCTTAATTGGATTACAGATGCTCTTTGCTGAAATATGGATGCTTGGACAAAATTGTATTGTAGGAGGGTTCCTGTGGGGAAAATATAAACCAGTGCTTTGCTGTTTCTGTTTCTAATGTATGTAATCTCCTGTTTATTTTCAGATTCAGAAATAGAAAGCACACCTACAAAATAGGGAGTTCAAAGCAGAGTGAACTGAACTCCAGGACTATGAGAACATCGTTGTGATCATATATCTTTGCCTTTTACTGAAATGAACAACCAGGACTTGTTAAATTGCAACTATGAAGATAAATGAAAAAATTATTTACCATACTAGGCAGCAGTTGTCCTAATAATCTCATGTTTCAGAACACTGGTGTACCAAATGTGTGGGTTTTTATGCTAAGTCATTGTCAGCATGTATAAAGCTCCTCCATCTTTTTTTTCTTTCTTTTTTTGTGCCTTGGTTTTGGGGTTTGTTTTGTGAAGCCTTGAGCACTTTTTTTCATCTCCTTGGGATTTATGTAGTACTGTATGTACATTTTAAGAGCAGGCCATCAATGATGGTTGGACGAAGTAGAGGTAATTACTGTAGAATCTTCAGTTGTACTTGATGGCACATCAAGCTGCCCTGAATCCCATATTTCACTTTCAAAAGGCCCTTAAATAGCTGGATAGATTGTTTTAAGGAAATAAATGGTACTGAAATTAATGGAGCTGTTACCAGGAAGTACTTTGAGAACCAAGCTTCATTTTCTTACACTAACTGGAAAATCTTGAAAAGGAACAGAATTTTAGTAGACAACACTTTATCCCCAATAAATCATAGATGTAAAATTTTAAAGCCATTTTTGAAAATAGATGCATTCTCTTTAGAGTCTATGTCATTGTCAGGAGGTTTGTACAGAAAGCAGTACTGTATATCAAAGTACTTGCAAGTTTTATTCACTTCAATGAAGCCCAGGCCCGGCAGTGTTTCTGGAGACTGGGCCTTGCAAAAAAATTTGACAGTGCAACCGTGGCTGCAAACCTATATACATTTGTTTGAGAGCAAGGCCAATTGACCCCTTGGACTTATTTCAGAATAGATATATATAGGCTTCAGCTGAAAGCTTGCAAGTTGCATTTCCTATTGTTATGCCAAACACTCTTATTCCTCCTAAGTACCTAGCAAATAAAAGTTAGTTCAATATAATTGCTAAATTAAATTTTCTGTAGCAGATAAGATTATTGGAACTGCATACAAACCAACATTTACAGAGAGACACTGGTTTTTCTGGGACCAGTACTACTGAAAACCAGATCTTAGGTTGCACTTGTGCCATTCTGCCACAGAAATCCATTGTGAAGCTGGAATCTTCTAATTTTTTATATTATGCACACTGTAAATTTCTATATTTAGGACAAAGTAGAAGAAGTATTTAAGTAAGGGAAGACTTCATTACCTAAAACACGTTTTGTTGTTTCCTTAAGAGATTTTGAGCACATTTTCTGCTGAGAAATGAATATTGGTGAGAGAGTTAACAAGTCAGGTATTGATTGACATTGAGATTTGTGCCAAGTAAAGTTCATGTATAGATGGCAATTACCCACTTAACAGTGAAATTATCTGCTTGGAATATATATTAGATAATCTCCTGGTTTGTTGCCTCAGAATGAACAATTTCCTAGTGCAGATTTTGAGGACCTAGCCATATATACTAGCAGCCCTTTTGGGGGAATACCATGGTGTGTCTGCTTCCATACTGCAACTTCCACAAAATACAGTCCAGCTGAACTTAGAAGGATCAAAGACCGAAGTAGAGGGACCTTCCTTGTCTATTTTTAAAGCCTAAACTTACCAATGCACCAGAACTCCACAGTATATCGTTGCTATGTTTTAAATATGGTTAGAACCTGCTTCATGACATCACATCTAATCCATAATGGCAGGGAATGTGGCAAGGTGATCCTGTTTTGCAGGTTCTTGGCACCCAGTTCTCTAAAGGACTATAAAGATCTGGTGCACCACATTCTATATGGGTGATCACTGCCCTTCTTTAAACAGCAGGGGAGCAGCTGGCTATGCCAGAGTACTTAAATGGAAACACCTTTCTGATTTTGCAAGTGGCCTAACAAATGTTATTAATGTTGCAAGCCCAATATTTCACCATTGCAAAATTAGCCAGTTTTTTTCAGAAACAATTTTATTTGCCATATGAAAGCCTATACCATTGATACACCATTGTGCCAAAACAAGGTACTCCTTTATTTTCTGTGCATTATGTATGTGTACTTTTCTGGGGGGGGGGGTTGCCACAAAAAATATCCCTAGCCCCATGTGTAGCATGGCTTGGTTGTCTTGGTTGCTGGTAAGGTGGCCAGTTTCTGAGCCAGAGACTGTAGTCGTTGCTTTTATATGTAAATATTTGGCAACATTGTTTCATGGTCTTGCTCTGCAGCAGAAATTCCAAATGCAGTCTTTCTGATTAGGTTTTATATATATATATATATATGGAGCTCTTGATCCTAATAGATTTCTCAGCACACTCTTAACATCTGCAAAGGATAAAATTGTTTACATGCAGTTTGGCAATATGTACCATGGCATCTTTTTATGTATATATTTTATACAAAAATAATGGATTCTTATTCTGTTTTACACTGTTGTAACTGTCACTATTTCTAACATATACACTTTAATATCTCTCTATATATATTGTGGTATTTTTGTGGAAGACTTTGTTTTGCCAGTGTTTCTGTAACAATTTAAAGTTCTCTCAATTTTTAATTGGGCAAATTCCAATATAGCTCCTTAGGCAGTGCTTTTAAAAAATCTTTTGGAATCTTAAAACATGAAGCTGCACTTTCTAGAGGATTGTGATGTGATATAAAATAAAGGCCTTTTCAAAGGGACCAGTTCTGTAAAGATTCCCCCAATATTGCTTGATTTGACTAAAAGCTATTTGGGTATATTTGCCTTTTAAAGCATGGGTGATGGTTTCATAGATAATGAGATCAGTTATGTTACTAAAAGCTGTGACTGTCAGGGTCTGCTTGCTGCCATGCAACACGGCTACTGGTCTGGAGAGATTTTATTTAGTAACTACATACAGTATGTGGTTGAAGAAACCCACCGTAACATTTCTATGTGCTTTGCTATAAAAACTGTAGGGGCTTGGGGACTGGAATGAATTTTTATACTAAGTCTTTACAGTATTGATCCTAGAAAGAGTTGCTTTTACAAGGAAAATGTACATTCTCTGCCAAATGATGATTCCTCTCAGGGATTTGCCAGGTGGTATCTGCAGTAGTCCAAAGATTGTGAAAGAAAGAAGGATCAAGATGGAGAGACTTCTGTTGTTGGCACCTTATTTTTCTTTTCTTTTTTTTTTTCCTTACTGTAAATCTTCCAGAAGGTTCTGGCAAAAGCTTTAATTTACTTTTGTGGGACTATTCTATCTTTTTATTACAGGGCTGTACAACTTTGACCCACTTGGCAAAACACAGCCAACCAGCAGCTTAATCTGCCTGTTTTTGCTGCCTGCCTGGGATGGCGCAAACTATAAAGATAACAGGCTCCTAGTAGGCTGTGTATGGCTCTGCGGTCACAGATTTAAGTTGTGCAGGCCTGTTCAGCTGCAATCTTTGTAAAGTGCCTGCTGGTCAGGTTGGGCCCAGGATAGTTCTTTATTAGAAGGGAGAAATGTTTGATCAAAGTATTTCTAACAACCTGAGTGGAAGTCTCCCTTTTCTAAGACCTCACCTAGCTGCTGTCTGAGATGCCCCTCTCCTTTCCATGTTATATCTGAATAATGTATACACTGTTGAGATCTACAAATGTTTTGTGTGTGATTTTTAAAATGTGCTATGCATCACCATGTAGCAGTTGCCTCTTTATTTTTCCATATTGGCAGGAAAAAAAGAAATACAATTGCACTGACCAGTTTCCTCTAGGTATTAAAAAAAATTCTCTTTCTAAGATATGGTTGCAAGACCAAAAACACACACACAAAAAACGCTGTGTAAATACTCAGATATTGTGTTAAGTAAGTGGGACAATGAGAGAAACAAACCAGTACGAATGTCCTCACCTGAAAATGGAAGAACTAGTATGAATTTGCACTGAATAATATAGATAGACCTGTCAGTATGAAGCATTACTCTAACTGGTTCTAGTAAAGGCACTACAGTTACTGTTCCACCATGTTCTCAACCTTTGTTGCATGTTCTTTGGTATAATAAATAAATAATAAAGCCACAAAATAAAGCTACTGTGATTACCAGAGAATTTGCTTTTTTGGTCTGAAGGTGGGGGAGAGAAGTAATGAGCATCTTGGAAGTCTCTAGTCACTTTTTCCACCATTAGAATTTTTGATTCCCACAATTAACTTGCAGAATTGGAAGAATTAGTGCATGTGTCTATTAGTACATCAGATAGGTATTCCAGAATCCAGCAGCAGCCATTGCATCCACAAATTCCAGAGGATTAGCCATGTCGTTCTGTTGCATGATATGATGAAACAGAGAATCACAGCACTATAAAATTGGAAGTAGCTTAAAGACCATCTAGTCAACAAATGCCTGTGATTCTTATTTCTAGACTGAAATAGGGTTACAGCCTTAAAATAATTTTATTTATACATTTAATATTGCAAATCTGTACTCTTCTATCTGAGTATCACTACAATATGTACTCCAGTATGCAACAAATGTGATTGCTTTTTGCCAGGTACAACCAAACAATTGCATCTATTTTCACAGTGAATCTTAGTAAAATCTGTCCATTTCCACACACTCCAAAACTTCAATTAGCCACTTCTTGAACCTTGGTTGTTAAAGCTGCAAGCTTTTACTAACACTATGCAATACAGTCTTGCCTGCTAACAAAAAGTTAATGATAAGTCTAAAAACATCCATACTGTTCTCATCTTAAGTCCAGTTATTGGTTACAAACTTGTTGCTAACTCATCTATGTTAAACTTGAGTGTAATAACCCATGCCTAACGACATCCCATCAGATGTCAAAGCGATAAACAACTACCTGACATTCAGAAGACATCTGAAGGCAGCCCTGTTCAGGGAAGTTTTTAATATGTGACATTTTTGTGTATTTTTCATCTTTGTTGGAAGCCGCCCAGAGTGGCTGGGGAAACCCAGCCAGATGGACAGGGTACAAATAATAAATTATTATTATTATTATTGGGAGTATCATTGTACTCTCCCTGATGTCAATGACAGCATGCCAAGTTGGGAGTAATTTCTATTGATTAATTGCCAAATCCAATTCTAAATTGAGCAGAGGGCCGTTCACCCATCACTGCTTAAAAGTTTGTATTGTGGTAACTCAGGTTTTCTGTAGCTGCCTGCCACAAAACTTAAGTTTTTTAAAGTGGTAATAAAATTTTATGAAAATTAATACTTTGTTTGCACCATTTTCCAGCCACTCAGAAATCCAGGTTAACAGGATTAACATATACCCTAGCTTAATTAATCAGCTTCACCATATGGTTGGAGGCTACAGTTGCTGTCCTCACTTGTAAGCAAGCAGCTGCCTTTCCCATAGCTCTGAGTGGTTGGCGAGCAACTTGGGTTTATACACTAGAAAAAATATTTTTTATTAGATAACTAATATATTAAATAGACACACAAATAACACTATATAAAATATTCCTTCATTGTTTATCCAAAGCAAATATTAGAAATAAATCTTTGCCACGCCTGAGAAATTAAGACCCAGTTGCTTTATTGAACAAAAGCGCAATGAAATGGCCTTTTTTCTAGGAGTACTCTCATCAGTGCTGTTGAGCAATTTTTATTGTGAGCTCGGATGTGGCAAGATAAAAACAATGTGTGCAGACTTCATTGTCGACGCACAGAAAAGAATAGAGAAGATAAACTGTATTGCTGTCTAGTGAAATCAAGCTATTCAGTCTTTGAAGATATTCCTGACCTTGTTTAGTTGTGCAGCCTTCACTGGTAAAGGCCTAATGTTGTATAGTCTGAGTTTCTGTTTTGAAAAGCTGTGGAATTTTTCCGTTGGATTAAAGCATATCTATATCAGAGCTATCTTGTGCTTTGTCAAATATGTATACAATGAGGAGCTTTTCATGGGACCCAGTAAAAAGGTATGTCTTCCTCATAATTGTTTTTGCATCATTTCAGCCTTCATCAGCAGTCACAGCATTTTATTATGGCTGAGTCTGAAATTCTAAATAACCTTTTAACCCTTATGCAGGCATCTTGTCCTGTCCATTTTTGCAGGAACTGGAAATCAAAACAGCTCCAGTTGGGGGCGAGAGAGGTTTTCTAATTCATGTTGCATTTTCTGAACAACTCTAGACCATACCCCAGTTTAGATGACACATATTATGGCTTAGTTCAGCACAGCAGCAAAATGACCGGGAAGGAGTAAAGCAGGCACAGTCTTCTGGAATCCACATATATATGTGCACGATGTGTAAACCAGGAGTGTCAAATACAGCATCAGTGCTCAAAAAGTAAGGCCCAAGCTAGGCATGATTCTCACACAGCAGTCCTATGCATTTCTTCTCAGAAGTAAACCCCACTGAGTTCAATAGGGCTTACTTCCAAAAGTGTACACAGAATTGTAACTGTTTAACCCCCTTTCTATTTTTTGTTATTAATTTTAACTAAAACCATCCATGTTACTGTTTTAGCAGAGGACTAATAGGATTCTCTTTAATCCCTGTTCCAACTGTTTTTTCCTCACTCAGAATTGCCTCCCAGCTGCTTTTTGCCTCACAAGGAAAAATAGGTGGGTACCACTATTTCCCCCCTGCATGTGGACATGCAACATAGGGGAGATATCTGCAGAAAAACAAGGGGAAGTGAAAGTGGGCTACCTTTGATTTAAGCTACCCTTTCACCTGGCATTCCTCTGCTCTAATTCACTGGAAAAGTGGAGTGTGAGGCAGTGAACGTTAGATGTAGCTTGGACCAAAGTCCAAGAAGCCAGCATATATATTTTTTCAACTGTACCCTCAATACATTATCTTTCACCTGCTATTTTAAAGGCCAAAGAACAACAACAAAAATCCTAGTAAAATCAATGTAAATTGATTTTTTTAATGTAATCATTCTTTTTTTCTGTTGAAATGGGTGGTGCATACTTAAGGTAACAGGTTTTTCTGCCCTGAGGACTGTACTACATGCTGATGCTTATGTATTCAAGCACTAAGCTGTGTGGCTTTACCTTTCACCTAGTAACTAAGAGAAACAGATTGGAATTTTTATAGCCAGACATGCAAAAGGTATTTTTTGGACAAATGTTTAGTGGAAGCATCACTCTATTCTAATAAAATAAAGTATTATTTTGAGAACTAAACCATTATTTTAGGTAGCCCTTTGTACCTTGGCCCCAAAAATATTTAGATTCTCTGCCAACAAATTGGTCAAGACTCACTAGGTCTTAAATGTGATGCAATGCACTCTAGGTGATGATTGCAGGCAGCAACACTCGTGGCTCCATTGTCTCCAGAGGTCTTGCAACATTGCCTTTAGGCTCATATCATACTTTTTGGCTATTGAAGCAATCAAAACAAAATGTTAGCAATGCACTGCTGAAGTAATTATCTGCAAAATAATTTATCCTTGTTTGACTTAGATATAGGTGGAACCAATAACAGAGCAGGAGACAGCACCCTGCACTTTAGGCTTGATCATTCAAAGCTTTTTTAAGGTCCCTGGCCACAAGAAATCTCTGAAATAAATTATTCCCTATATGATTATGAAACTGTAGAACTAATGTATCTTTTCTGCTTAGACTTTGGTTTGGTTTTGTGGGAATGGGCACATTTGTGCCCAATCCCAGCTAAATTAAAATCTAGGATTATTCCATTGATTTCTATGGGAAACTCTCACTTCTGCCCCTGGGTACGTTTAAAAATAACTTTGTTGTGAACCAGGAAATATGGCCAGACAATGAGACAGTTCTCTGCACACTTTTTATATAGAAACATCTCCCATCCACACCTTTCTAACTATTCCATTCCTTTTCCGCTCCTGCCTGATTTTCTGTTGCTCCCTTGCCTCCCCACAGTCAGTCACCATTCTATACCTACTAAGCACGCTCAGTCCTCATTGGGCTATTTTTCTTCTCCCCACCCCCCAAAATAAGGTTCCTCCAAATCTGCCAATATATCCCCATTTTAGCTGTGTAAGCGCAAGGACCCTGAAGGCTGGAAATAGAATATACCACAAAGACAGCCTAGCAAAGAGTCATCAATGAAAGGGCATGCTTGCATTCTGCAAATACATGGTAGAGGGGGGTGGCAGAGGCAGAATTAATCAGGAAGTGAACCAGAGGAAGTGGACAGAGACATTTTTTCTCCCTCACAAAAAAAGGGAACCAACTCCCTCACAAAAAAAACTCAGAACCAACCTTAAACTTGGTTCGCATTAGATTCAGGATGCTCAGGATATAATTAAATGTGTGGAGCTGGCTACCACAAGCTGTGATGGGGATCACTTGGGAAGATTGCTTTGAAGGGGACTGAGAAATCTTACAGCTCATTACAGCTATATGGAACCCCTAGCTACAAAGGCAGTATACTCCTGAAAAGCAACTGCTGAGGAGGAGCAGCAGCAGTGACTTGCCTTCATGCCCTACTTCTGGGCTTCCTAGAGGCAATTAACTGCTATGGAAAGCAAGATGGATAGAGTAGATGGACCTTTTGGGTCTGATCCAGCAGGCCTTCTCTTACGCTCAGCTAAAGAAGAATGTAGTATAAGCAGAAGGATGCTACTCTTCAGCAAATTCACAATTAAGGCGAACAAGATGTTTCCATTTTCCATAATATACATCTGCGCAGAAAAGCATACATGTACCAGGGGCATCAGTATAACTGAAACCGTTCTTGGGAGCAGGTTACCACAACCCACTGAGCTTTGACCTAGATTTATATGTTTAGGATTACTAACTCCCCCTACTTTTAACTTTCTCGTAAAATCTTGCCCTTGTGCTCTTTTTTTTATCTAAATCGTTTTATCCAAATGCTTGATTATCATAGCCACATGCAGTGCCTTTGATTTTGAAGCAATGTTGATCGGGAACTCAGCCAGAACCCAAACACCCGCAGATTTGGTTGCATCATGGAAAAAAGAGGTCACGTGTCTCACGATGTGAGAGCACTTCAAAAAGAAAGGAAAATGTGAATATTAGTCATGGATTTGTTTCAAAAACAAATGCTGGAACCTAGAGAGATGTGAACATGGGGGGGGGGCACAGTAAGAGCTCAGAACATCTGTGGCACCAGGCACCACAGTGTATATTATGTTGAAATCTCATATCATTTTGATAGTTTGAAAGAATGTCCTAGTGCTGAAACATGGTCACATTAAAAAATCCCTATATTGCTAAAATCCCAGCACAGTGATTTTAAAGAAATGAAAATCTGAAGCTGACAAGTGCATATACAGAGCTACAGGCTGCTTATACCATGAGTGGGGAGTTGCAGACCCAAAGTCTGAATGAAGCCCTCAGGCACTCCTAAGGTCACCCTGTCCTGTTCCAAACCCTCCTTATGTGCTTTAGTCTAGCTGGAATGTGTCATTGAAACCTGATAATGCCTCTTGCTTGCCTGGATAGAAGATAGAGAAGTGTGTATTTGTGTAGAAACTTGACTATTGTGTAGCTGGAATACAGCCTACTGTACAAAGGCAAGTCACAAATATTGCCCCACCCACTTTGACCTCTGGTCCTGCCCACTTTTGCTTTTGGCCACACCTGCCACTGGCATGCAGTCTCCGGAAGGTTGCATACTAGGAAATGTGGCCTAAATAAGGTTTCCAGTCCGTTTATATGACATTTGTGTAAAGCAAAGCAGCTGGCTACTTACATGAATGTGCATCTATGTCCAAAGAAAATTGGATTCTTGGCCAATTATCAAATGATGACATCACTTTTGTATATTAAAGGTAAAGGTAAAGGTACCCCTGCCCGTACGGGCCAGTCTTGACAGACTCTAGGGTTGTGCGCCCATCTCACTTAAGAGGCCGGGGGCCAGCGCTGTCTGGAGACACTTCCGGGTCACGTGGCCAGCGTGACAAAGCTGCATCTGGAGAGCCAGAGCCGCATACGGAAACACTGTTTGTATATTATTCTGTGCCAAATTAAAGCTACTGCCATGTTGGATATTTACTGCAAGATAAAGACTACAATCCCATTCCCAGCACACACACACACTAGTGAGGAAGCACCATTGAACACAGTAGGATTTACTTTGGAGCTAAACCTGCAAAAAATTTTGTGTTGAGTTACAAAAATGTTTTCAGTACAATACTTACTTACATACATTATCTGTTAAATTGCCAACAGGCCATATTTCTCCCCCTTCATTCTCCCCTGACCAAGCCTTTCATCTTCTCCTTGAAAAACCTGATGAGTTCTTCTTTGAAATCAAATTGCACAAAAAGAAGGTTTCAAATGACAGGACTAATTACTTCAGAGATGGAAGGCCTGCCTTTTATTTTACTTTCTCAAGTACTGAACTACTGGTTTTTCCAGAAGTGAAACAAAATACTTTTCTGTATGATTTCATCCATCCCCTTTGTATCCCTTTATCCAAGCAGCAGAGTAGTATACAGATAGCTCAGTTTATCTTCACAATAACCTTATGAGAAAGATGAAGTTGAGAGAAAGTAACTTGCCGAAAACTTTGCTGGCTGAGTAATAGATATCTGATTTATTTATTTATTTATTTATTTAATAGTTTTCTATCCTGCCTTTTAGGAGAATATCATCACAAAGCATTAAACATGATACACAAACTAAACAGCAATCAATAAACAATATATAAATACACCTTAAACATTTAAAACACTCAAAATTTTTAAAATACCAACATAAAAAAATTAGCAAAAACAACATGAATATAACGAAGTATAAAGAACCCCACCACTGCTGCCACCCAGTTAAAATGAATCCATGAAAGCAACAACAAAGATGTTTCGGAGGCTGGTCAAAAAATTATGCAGATGGTACTCTATGGGACCACCTTCTGCAAGTGTGGGGCTATAGCAGAAAAGGTCCTGCCCCGAGTTGCCCTGCCCAACACTACCCAGGCCACACTATGAAAAATAGTGCCAAACATACTCCCCTTCCACCAAACCCCTTTTTAGCCTTTGCAGAATTTGCTCATGAAACCCATTTTTGTTTATGAAAATGAATCCATGTTGGATGCACACTCTATAGACCCAGGAAACTGGGGGCACATGTCCACTGTCCTGTGTGAGAGCGAAAACCCAGTCAAAGGTATTGATCCAGGGCTAGTCTCTGCTGACAGTCAGGATCCAGGGCGACCTCCTAAATAATAATTATTATTATTATTAGCCACCCATCTGATCGGATTGCGGCTTCCAACCCTTATAAAACCACGGCAAAACATCAAACATTAAAAACTTGTGTCGCTAATTATCTGCTTAATAATAATAATAATAATTTATTATTTATACCCCGCCCATCTGGCTGGGCTTCCCCAGACACTCTGGGCGGCTTCCAGGAAAATATTAAAATACTGTAATACATCAAACATTTAAAACTTGTGTGGCTAATTATCCGTGGAAGCTGCTCTCGTCTAGGGTGTTTGAGGAGTTGCACTGGCATTACATTCCGGGCCTGTGCGGCCGACGTAGAGCTCGACGTCAGCGTTTCTCCGGGCCGGCTGCGAGGCAATGCACATATTGCCCAGACTATGCTGCGGCCGCCGAACCCCGGAGCCAGCTTCTTCGTCGAGGAGGCCGCCTGCATTACAAGTGACGGGAAATGCCGAAAGCAAAAAGAGACCCTGTAGGGAGGCTGGCCGCTGCCTCACGCGCGGGGACGCCGCGGCCTCCGCCTTGGCTCTGGGCCCAGCGCGACTCTAGGCCTTTGTGTACAAACCACACCCACCCGCTCCCCGTGCGAAGAAGCACTTGCTGCTGCCGGCAGCCGCACTTTACCTCATAGCGGCGGCGGCAGCGGCTCGCCTGTTCCCCGCCCAGGCCGAGCGAGGCTGCGGCCACATGTCGTAGCAGAAGGCGGCTCTTCGGCCCTCGCTTGTCCGTTGCCGGCCGGCCAGGGCGCGCTCGCTTTGCCCCCCTCCCGCCCGCCCGCTATGTACGACTACGACCAGGGCACCGCCTTCCTGGGCGAGTGGGGCCCCTTCCAGCGCCTCGTCTTCTTCCTGCTCAGCGCCAGCATCATCCCCAACGGCTTCAACGGGCTCTCGGCCGTCTTCCTCATCGACACCCCCGAGCACCGGTGCCGGGTGCCGGCCAGCGCCAACCTGAGCCGCGAGTGGCTCAACGCCAGCATCCCGCTGGAGGAGCGCGGCAGGCGGCAGGTCCCGTCGCGCTGCCGCCGCTACAGCCTGGAGGCCCTGGCCAACTTCTCCGCCCGCAACCTGGTGCCCGGGCGGGACGTCAACCTCAGCCAGGTGGAGCAGGAGAAGTGCCTGGACGGCTGGGAGTACAGCCGAGAGCCCTACCTCTCCACCATCGTCAGCGAGGTAGGGAGGCTGCTCGCGAGGTGGCCTCTTCTGGACGGGCATGGAGAGGAGAGCGCGTGGCTGCGACTTGAGCGGCGCTCGATCAGCCCTGAAGTTCACGGGGTGACCTTGGGCCAGTGGCCGGATCACCCCGTGAACTTTCCTAGCCCCACCTCGCAGGGTCGCTTTAGAAACCTTGGACTCCTCTCTGGGCTCCTCAGAAAGGGATCGGAGGGCAGAAACCCAAGAGACCTAAGGAGAGCGATGCTTTGAGAAGCCTCAGTTCGTTGTGTCATTCCATGCCTGCTCTGTTGCCAACTTGACATGTCTTTGGCATTTTCCCTGCTGTGATCGTTTCTTTAAAAAATTAACCTGCCAGGCACTTCTTGGTGCACTTGCAAGATCTCTCTTCTTCTTCTTCTAAAACTCAGGTATCCATAAAATTCCGAGATCCCCCTGGCCCATGCGTGATGGGGGGTGCCCTTTCTTCAGCTCCCCTCTCTCTTCTCTAGGTCACCACCCCTTCTAAAGTGAGCAAATAAGTCCAAACTTGCTATCTATTCCTATGGTGCCAAACTCCTTAGCTTCTCGTGTTCATGACAGATACTTCTTGGTTTTTACCTCGGGGATGCAGGAGGAAGGAGGAATAGCCTGAGTGACTTCTGCCACACAGGAAACGGAATGAGAAGTTGGTAATGTCCAGGCTCGTTGTTACAGAAAGCTTTAACACAATAACATAAACAGAGTCCTGCTGGACCAGGCCAAAAGCCCATTTATTTCGGTCTTCTGTTCTTACAGTGGCCAACTAGATGCACTTCTGGGAAGCCTACAGGCAGGACATGAGCACAACAGCACTCCCCTCAGTTTCCCTTTCATTCCTATGTTGACTCTCCCTGCCATAGAGTCATAGAATCATAGAATCATAGAGTTGGAAGAGACCACAAGGGCCATCGAGTCCAACCCCCTGCCAAGCAGGAAACACCATCAGAGCACTCCTGACATATGGTTGTCAAGCCTCTGCTGTGACTTTTATGGAGAAGTAACTTTTAGAGGAAGAAAAGAGAACCATCGGAACAAAATTGGAATAATGGCGATATTATATCCCTGTAAACACATTATTCTTAGTTGACAGTGATTCTAACTGGCTTACTTTAAAGTTACTTTAAAGTAAGCTAGATCATATCGTATATTTGCATGTAGAATGCTTTCTTCTCTCTCTCTCCCCCTGGCAAACAGAAATGAGTGCAATTTGAATTACTCCAGTCAAGATTTTGTAATTGTTGTCTAGTAGCTTGTAGCACAGTGTGCACAGATGGAACTGCTGACAAATTGCTACAGATTTATGGCAGAAGAACTTAATAGTAGTATGATTTATGAAGTCACATAACAAAGGTCAATGTTCCAAACATTCCCTGGCATGTGATGGGAATTGAATGGCCACTCATTTGAGGGTTCATTTGGGTGCTGCAGTTGGGTTTAGAGTTATTAGTAGATTATCAGGGGTTGGACTGTGACCCTCTTGGCCCCTACCATTCTGTGATTTTACCTACCTACTCATTTATTTGTATATCCAAGAAAAGCATGGAAAATATAGTGCAGTATTGTTCAATAGCAATGAACACGTCCACACATACAATTGTTCTATTACTTGCTAAATTACTGCAGGTAATAGCTTCCTTCAGTACAATACAGAGAAAATTTGCATGCTCCCTTACTTCTTTTTGGAAAATTGCAGAAGGAGCAGAGACAGTGGAACTGGCATGTTACTTTCCCATACTTAGAAACACGGGAAGCTGCCTTATAACAAGTTAAACCATTGGTCCATCTAGCTTCCTGTGGTCAATACTCACTGGCAGGCTTGCAGCACCTCTGTTGGATTTCAGACTGGGGAGATTTGCAGCTCTATCTTGAGATGCTGGGGATTAAATCTGGAACCTTCTACATGCAAAGCAGTTGCTCTACTACTGAGCTACATTATGTGCATTTCATATATCTATTTTGTTTTTATTTTTAAGAAATTATTTAGCTCTTTAATTATATAATAGTTGTAAAGGTAAAGGGACCCCTGACCATTAGGTCCAGTCGTGACCGACTGGGGTTGCGGCGCTCATCTCGCTTTATTGGCCGAAGGAGCCGGCGTACAGCCTTCTGGGTCATGTGGCCAGCATGACTAAGCCACTTCTGGCGAACCAGAGCAGTGCACAGAAACGCCGTTTACCTTCCCGCCAGAGCGGTATCTATTTATCTACTTGCACTTTGACGTGCTTTTGAACTGGCAGGAGCAGGGACCGAGCAACGGAAGCTCACCCCGTCGCGGGGATTCGAACCGCCGACCTTCTGATCGGCAAGTCCTAGGCACTGTGGTTTAACCCACAGCACCACCCGCGTCCCATATAATAGTTGTAGTTAACCTTTAAATGGGTTGAAATGGTTAAAAGAAAATTGAGGAACATGCCTTTCCCATAGCTTTGAAGTAGTTTAAGTTCTTATGTGCTTTGGGTTTAATCGTCTCAGATTAAAACAAATGTGTTCTGGCACATCACTCTTATGCCTATTTACTTGAAAGTAAGCATCACTAGTTACAGTGGAACTTACCTCAAAGTATTATGTTAAGATTGGATAGTGTTATAAGTTTCTGTAAACAAACTTTTCCACGTATAGATGTGTAGCATTTTCTGAGTCAGTACTTTTACATACATAGTAACTTAATAAAATATTTTACTAACATATGCCGAAAGTTTGCATAGTCCATAGCACTGCTTGAGAGTATCAGATCTACACACTCTAGAAACTGCTCTTGATTGACCCTGTATGCAAAACTTGTTTTGCACAATCACAGGAGTTGGAATGGACCAAAGGTCTGTTTCGTTCAAAACCCTGCTTCAAGGCAAAATTGTTCCCTCTTCCTCCCACCTCCATCCTACCTACGTAATTCTGACTGCAGTGTCCACAACCAGGGAACAAGTGCTCTTCAGGAAGGAGAAATATATTTCAGTTCAGACCATTAATACTAGCCTTAGCTGATAGAGGTTCAGGGCCCATGGGCGTAGCTGGGGGGGGGTAGGGGGCAACCCCCCATCAAGTAAACCAATGCAAATACTTAACTACTTAACAAACTGAGGTTCTGCCTCCCCTAACATAAATCCTGACTATTTCCATATCAGGTCCCCTTGTTTGGTGGTGACTACTAGTCATTACAAAGTGCAAGTAGATAAATAGGTGCCGCTCCAGTGGGAAGGTAAACAGCATTTCCATGCACTGCTCTGCTTTCGCCAGTCATGCTGGCCCCATGACCTGGAAGCTGTCTGCGGACAAAGGCCGGCTCCCTTGGCCTATAGAGCGAGATAAGCGCCGCAACCCCAGAATCGTCCGCTACTGGACCTAACGGTCAGGGGTACCTTTACCTTTACTAGTCATTACTGTACGGCTATGCTCTGCCTCCATAGTCAGAGGCAGTAATGCTTATGAATGTCAGGTGCTGGATACCCCCAGAAGGGAGAGTGTCCTTGTGCTCAAATCCGGCTTGCGGGTTTCCCACAGGCATCTGGTTCAGCAATGTGAGAACAGGATGTTGAACTGAATGGGCCATTGGCCTGACCAAGCAGCTCTTCTGAGAGGGGAGAGCAGTGGATCAGTGCTGATGCAGCTGATGCCACCACTGACCAGCCAATCACCACCTCCAGCCCGGCCCCTATGAGTCTAGGGGTGCTGCTGTCACATTGTTGTTGCAGCATAGTGGCAGAAACACTCCTAAAGCGTTTCATGTGCCTCAGTCTGAAGAGGGGTCCTTTCTAAGAGTGAACCATTGTGGACAAAGTGGCCTGGAGAGCACCTGTTTGCAGTGCCACAGTTCGCTACTGGGAAACATCAAACTGTATTTGTGACTGCAAAGAGACATCAGTCCAGGCACTTTGTGGGACTACCTTGCTCATGGAGGAAGGAACCCATCTTCCTTAGAGCAAGACATAGGTGAGATTGCCCCAGAGGGCCTTTAGCAGCATCCACATAGCAACAGGAAGAGCATATTGTGGCAGTGGCTGCAGAAGAGGTTGGTGCATGGAGACGGGTTGATGTCAGCTGGTCTGTCTTGTTTAAAGATGCATAACGTCTTGCATACTGTTAAATTCAGGTTACACAATTAAAAATGGATCTGATGCTTGTGCACAACAAACCAGCTTTTATTCACGGGTCAGGACCAGGACTTTATTCAATAAGGAAAGTGATAGGAAACTGCACTGGATATTGTAGGACAACAACTGCTTGGCACGGCGTCCAGGCAAACAAATTGTGTTGTATGCTCAATAAACAGACAACATCATAATGACATTTCCACAAACTTTATTGAACATTAGGTCATCTGAAAGCAACCTTTGTATTCAGAAAGGATCACATACTCAAAAAGCTTGAAAATTGCAGTCTTCCAGGTCCCCTGGTACCAGCAAATGTATCCAGTGCTCACACTGAACACAGTAAGACCTCAAATTCCATGGCTAGAATCTGGCTCAGAAGTTATTATGTTTGCTAGCTAATCCTTCTTGCAATTCACTGTAGGAGACCATGTCAGTGCAAGAGCCAAGGAGGCAGTTCATACTAGGGATAGTTCAGTGCGATGAAATACAAACCAGGCAGTTCTGATCCAAAGGCTATTTGACTATTCACTTACTAGAATAATTCATAGTTTTGGGAGGGTTATATTAAAAAAACACCTCTTAACCAGGTATGCAGTGTTCATACTTTTATATTATTTTTGTTATTTTCATAATTCCAGCATTATATTTGCTATGCTTCCACAATCTGTGGCCTTTTTCAGATCCAGGGCCCCACTGTTAACTGCAATCTGCAACATGAAGCCCACATTTACCTTTTTAAAAATATACATGGCCACCTTCCTGCTTTTTTTCTGAGGGCATGAAGTGCGCTTTATGCTTGTCCCATCTAGTTCATAACATTGTGGACGACGGATGAATGGGTTGTGTGTCCAGGGAATAATGAATGCCATCTTACAAGAGGGAGTAGCATCG